GTAAAGACCAATAAGGTAAGAGAAGAGCAAGGCTAAGCAACCTTCTTATTGCTCCTCTTCCAACTTATAATATATAGATCCAAGATAACAGTATATGTCTGCAGCTGAACCAGGCATCAGAGCAAAAAAACACACTTTTAGAGATTATCTTACATATTTTATACTTTAGGAAGAGAAAACTTAATCAACTGGATTTTCACCAACTTTAATGGAAACCCACCTCTGGCATAAAAATCCCTTTGATTAAGTTTCCTTAATGCAAGTGTCTCATATCTGACCAACAGCTGCCTCATCTGAAGGGTGCATGCTTCTTCTACGTCCTGTTCATCAGCACTGTAACAGTGTCTCAGATATCCCAAGACATCTTAAATAGCACTGTATTTAGGTGACCGAATCAAGCACTGCTTGTTCACTAACATTTACTCAGGTGAGTTGAAGTAAAGGTCGCCATGAAGTGAATCTGCACTCATTTCCTCACTCATGTTGGGATGTTGCCTCTTAGCTTTCATGTCATCAGCAGAATATTGCTGGCTAACGAGGTGGGGCTCAAAGTGTCTGGGATAAGAGTTTTAACCAATGGGTTGCATCTAACTAATGAAACTGAAAAAAATTACTAAAATGAAGGAAAAGTACCGTATATAACATTTTCCTAGAAAAAAAATAATATTATTTTTAGCATACTGTTGTCAAAAGTTAAATATTTCTTCTGAGTGAAAACTTAACAACTCTGTGGTATTTTTAATGTTAAAGCCTAGAAAAAAAAAACATGTGAATAACAGATTATTATCCTGGAATATAGTATTAACTGTCCTCCTCTGCAATCCAGGTGTTGCCAGTATAATTAGTGGAAGATCTATGTATGCAAAATTTGGACAGTTTAGGAGATACTTAACTTCTTGGCAGCCAGCTGAGCAACTATTTTGCACAATAAGTAACACCTAAAGCCAACATACTGAAAAATAATTAAAGTTAGAATGAATTAACCTAGCAAAAAATTATGGCCTAGAAAACAAAAGAAACTAAATTGTTTGTTACTATTTTGAAGATAAAGATGTGTAATTTAATAGCAAAATTAAGCTGAATTATAGAAATGGACGTTGAACAAGACCACCTCCAGAGGTCCCTTCCAACCTCAACCATCCTTTGATTCAGAGACAGCCTTCTATCTGAAATAAGTTGAAAAGATCATTTCCTCACAGGAAAACCTTTCAGGTTTATATTGTCACACAAGGCATAGCAGCGTCATGTTCTTAATTTGTACTTGATGAAGATAATTCATGAAGAGACTAAGCAGGAGTCTCCACACCCTCTGTTGTCTGCAGAAGAGACTGATGTTTCTGCCGGAATGCAAATGGGATGTCTGTTTTGGGAACATATCCATGGTGGGGCTCAAAACAGAAATCTTCAAACTGTAAATTCATATAATTCACACCAGAAATTCACATTTGTTCCCATTTCTTCTGCCACACAGAAGTAAATATCTCAGCTTGATTTTATCCTTTTTCAACATCATCCTATATTTTTTGCCAGCAACAGAGCGTCTGTTTTCCCCTATATTAATAAAGGCTTAATAAACAAGCTCTGGTGATCTGTGTTCCACAACCCCCAAGAAAAAACAGTTACTCAAAAGTATGGCAAAGCCTGTCTAATATTTAGTGATGTCAATGTCACAGTAAGAGTGCTTGTATACAGGGGAAAAAAAAAAAAGAAAAAAGAAAAGGAAAAAGAAAAGGAAAAGGAAAAAGAAAAGGAAAAAGAAAAGGAAAGAAAAAAAGGAAAAAGAAAAGGAAAAGAAAAGGAAAAGGAAAAAGAAAAGGAAAAAAGAAAGAGAAAGAGAAAGAGAAAGAGAAAGAGAAAGAGAAAGAGAAAGAGAAAGAGAAAGAGAAAGAGAAAGAGAAAGAGAAAGAGAAAGAGAAAGAGAAAGAGAAAGAGAAAGAGAAAGAGAAAGAGAAAGAGAAAGAGAAAGAGAAAGAGAAAGAGAAAGAGAAAGAGAAAGAGAAAGAGAAAGAGAAAGAGAAAGAGAAAGAGAAAGAGAAAGAGAAAGAGAAAGAGAAAGAGAAAGAGAAAGAGAAAGAGAAAGAGAAAGAGAAAGAGAAAGAGAAAGAGAAAGAGAAAGAGAAAGAGAAAGAGCAAGAGAAAGAGAAAGAGAAAGAGAAAGAGAAAGAAAAAAAAGAAAAAGAAAAAGAAAAAGAAAAAGAAAAAGAAAAAGAAAAAGAAAAAGAAAAAGAAAAAGAAAAAGAAAAAGAAAAAATAGATAAAAAAGGATGTGTCATTTCCTTTCTTGCATTAACTGTACTGAAACAATGGAATTGTCCTGGGAACTCAACCTATAACTAAAATCAAACACGCAGATCAGAATTTTAAATATCTCTTTCTGCTTGAACTCTAGGATAGATTAAGGAGTTTATAGCAAGTCATGTATATTTAAGTATATTTACTTCCATAAGTGAGGCATTTATAAATGGACTTCTAGTTCAAAAGATTTGAATGTAGTGATATTAGTGGTCATTGTGTTTTTAATATGGACTTCTGTTGTCTCAAGCATTGTCACTGGAAATATTATATATTGGATACACATATGGTTTTACTGAAGGTGAGGATTTAAGAATGTGAAACTATGAAGGATTACCACCGGATTAGCAAGAACGTGAACTTGCATTGACTGTTCTGTGATAATTGCCTGGATACCTATTCACATTCCAGTATACAGCAAAGGAGCGACCTCCTTCACTGAGGAGTAAGGTACCTTGTTTTTAACACATAACCAAACTATACATGCAAGCACTCGACTGAAATAACGAATGTAAAGTGGACTCAACACCCTCATTTAGTTCCTTGTTCCTGTTCGTGAAGTACAGTACAGTACAACACAACTTTCTCGTGTGGGTGACCAGACTCAATTACGTGTTTGTGACTGTCTGTTTACCTGCAGTGTGTTAGTCTGCGGTTGTAGGTGAGTACTACATATTTATGTTTATGAATGAGTATACATTTTATATTTCTACACATTTTAGAGATGCTGTACTTAAGATTATGGAACCAACATTTCCATTTCAATGTCCTGTTTTTAAGGACTTATAAATAGAAAGTTTTGCCAGGCTGAAACTTAGTTGTGTCATCAGCCTAGGAAAGATGTTTTTTAACAAATTTGCTAGTAGAAATGCAGTGAATCCACGCATCTTTTTAACAATTTGAAAGCACAGAATAGATATTTAATTTGGTTTAGATTTTCATGGATGATATTCTCATATAATTCAAAAGTGTTTCTTCTTTAAAAACGTTAATTTTAGGACAACTACTTTAAGTGCTTACCAATGACTTGCATTATTCCATTTTCTTATGCTAATGAAACTTCTGTGAATTGGGAAAATTTGTAGATGAAGTCCTACTAAAAGTACAAGATGAGCTTGAAGGAACAAAATTTCATCTAAAGAACTGAGTCAGGGATACAAAGCCCAAAGCTTATGTACTATTCCTTGTATCATTTGTTGTGATGCTATAGATAAGTCAGAAAGGCCTTCAAAAGATACTTGAACAACTTGGGTGAGATCTGTGAGTGACTGTGCATCTATGTCTTTGTGAATCTGCCTGGGAATGCTTCAGGTTCTTTTGCCCACCTCCACCTAGATAGGTCTCAAACACGTATTGTGTCCTCCCTCTTGAAGACAGAGTGTATCATGCAGCAGTTTCTGATGTAATTTGGGCTAATGCACTATTACATTCTAAAATAAACACAGGTGGACTGATAAGTGCCACCAGATCTGAAACGTTCTGAGCTTCTGGAACACAAACCAGCTCTGGCACAGGCACCAAACCTAGTAACATGCAACCTCCTCAGAGGTAAAGCACTTTAAGCTGGGTAGATGACATATGGGCCCAAAGACTCTGATTCAGAGTGAATCGCATTCAGCCAATATAGAGCATGACCAAAGCAAACCCCCACAGAATTAACATTTTCCTAAGGCTGGCAGAGACCCTGTACCTAATGATCTAGAAGAGCACCAGAACACCAGCAGTGGAAGGACTCTACTACAGGGACCCGTACAAGATTTTTGCTTTGTATGATGCTTTTTTTTTTTTTTTTAATTATGTGGTAAAAGCAATGGCAAGCTACAGACATGAAAAACAATGGCTTCAGAATAAAAGTATTCAATGTACTAAAACAAGAAAGCGGAAAAACAATAGCAGAGAGTGAGGCAAGGCAGTAAACCAAAGGACTGGAGAACAGAAACAGAAGATTTTGATCTTATTACACAGTAATACCATATACTAACTATATACTATATACTAACGGAGAACTGAAAAAAAATAAAATTAAACAAACTACTACTGTCAAGAAAGCTCCTGCCTCCCTCTCCCAGCCATATACGTTCAATTCTGATTGTATGAGAGGCCATAACATGGTTTTGTGCCAGTAGAAGACTTGCTGTATTCAATGGTCTATTGAGGTCTGTAAAGAGATTGTGCATGTTTAATTCGTCAGAAGGAAGTTGCCTAGCGATCACATAGTTTATGCCTCACCTTACCAAAGTATACAAGACCAGAGTTGTTAAGACAGTTGTGCCTGTGAATATAAATATCCCAGAAGTGAAATGCTGACCTTACTGTATATAATTACATCACTCCTGTCGATCTCAATGGGTCTAGACATCATCCAGAATTTGTGTATGGACCTAGAAGTGATTTGAATCCCCACGTAATTTTATGTGCAGAAAAGACTTCACTGCACAACCATATTGCCAGCCGTTCTCAGTACATAACTTATGCAAAACTCCACAGCTCCTAAGACCTTTCTTTATAAAATACTTGTATTTTAAGAGTTAATTATTCATATTGGATGTCGGAAATGTTGTTCACAGTGGTAGGTCCTGTCGATGTGTCTAAAGAACACAGAAAGCTAAACACAGGAAAGTCTCCATGCATCTTCTGTGCATGCGTGTGCCTAAGGCTGGAAGAGAAGGTAAATGCAGAACCGAAGTACTACTTGGTCTTTACCATACCTGAGGGTAGCTGTCAGTCCTTGGAAGAACAGATATATCATAGGTGGCAGCAAAATGGCTCTTAGCTTGCTGGATCTGACCATAGCGTTCTCTTTTCCTCCATTTTGCTCTTCGATTCTGGAACCAAACCTACAGTAAATGAGGAAACAGTCATCAAGGTAAACTTAGTTCCATGCTGTGCAAAGAGTATGAGGAAAAAGCCAAGAGATTGTGACAGTAACTTTGAAAATTTCACTTTATGTAAGAAAGGGATGTTCGCCACCAGAGGGTGAATTTCTTGCAGTTTCAATATTCTCAGTGTCAGACTTGCTGAAGTTATTTCTGGCTATTTAAAAGTATACGCTACTTCCTTTCTAGTGCCTAAAAAAAAAAAAAAAAAAAAAAAAAAGCAGAGGAAAGATCGGTCTGTCAGGCAGTGCTAATTTTGACAGAGTTCAGTTCTGTAGAGGAAAATCCCCAAGTAATAGCAAGTCAAATTGCAAAGAAATTTTCTCTTAATTTCACATGCCCACTGACTTGATCTGACTACCTATGAGCTGCCTCCTAGCGGTATACGTAATCTTTACCAAGTGCAGTAATGAAAGGGCAGGAAAAGCTGGCACCAGGAAAGTAGTCTGTGCTGCAGAAAAAGTTGTTATAAGGCAGGCTAGTACAGCAGGAAGATAATAAAAAATCACGAGATCACAGACAGTTTTAGACCTATTGTGACATTTTTTCACATTTGCATTAGGAAAATCTGTGTTTCTGACAATGGAAAACTAAAGAATGGCACTTTGCATTTAGACTATGAAATAATTTAAACCTGGACAGTGCCTTCTTGTCAACTAAAAGCTATTTTTTTGTGCTTAATTAACCTTTGGACTATTCTGTAATATTTTGAGTGTCAGGTGTTATCTCAAAATCTACTACACGCACATTTGCTGTGACTGATATCTGTCATTGTCCTGTGGTCTTCAAAAAAAAAAAAAAAATCCCTCAAACAGTTTAGTTTGGATGGGCTAAGACTTATCCTGAAATTAAAGGGATTGCTAAGAAAAGTAACTATTCACTTATAAAAGTAATATTATCCAACTAAATCGTTGTTGTTCAGCTATGAGCAAACTCATTCCAATTCTTTCTAAAGCAGTGACACTACTAACAAAACCTTTTTTTTTTTATGGAAACAATGCCATTGGCTAGCCTTCCCGCTAAATGGATCGTGAATCTGTTTGGATAGATAAATACATTAACAGAATTTTTTTGTATATATAGATATTGCCTGTGAATCCAATTTTGAGGGATATTTTTGGATCCCAGATGGTGGGATATTTAAAATAACACTGTTTGTTTTATAATTCAGGTTTGCCTTGCTCTTTGGAGAAGCCAACTGTCCTTTGATGCTGCTTAAGCAACCAGGGCATAATTTTGCTCATTTTTATTCCCACGGACTTGTTGCAAATTTAGTAAGTGCAATCTTTTAAAATGCACTTGGCAATCAAAGCAAGGCTCATGCATGTAACTGCTGAGTGTATATTCTTAGGGACCTTGCTGGTAAATTTGTATTATTTATGATGCCTGAGGCTCAGCAAAAAGAAAAGAAAAGGAAAAAAATTCTTCTGTCTCCCCAGGAGGCATCAAGAACCCGCTAAGGGAATTTAGTAATGAGGCTCTTTCGTTGAAAAAAGACCTTGACAATCTCCTTAAAATGGGTGCCAATTACTTCACTGACATGCAGCAGGAAAGAGAACAACTTAGATAAATTAGGTTCAGGTTGGCTTTCTCTGCATGTATGCAGGACAAATATTAAATTGGATCTTGATGAAATGGCGGTGAAGGGAAATGTGGGTAAGGTATCCAGCTGATCACTCTGCTAAACTAAATCAAACAATTTGCTTGAATTTATAGTAACTAAATGAGAAAAAAAGCACACATTTTTTCCTTTGACAATCCCCCAAAATGTTTCTGTTTACATCACTTTACTAGAAACTGTCTCTTGGCAGAGATAAAGTAACCGTTTGCCTCCACAAAGCAATGTAAAAATCTGCTGCTTGTTATCCTCGCACTGCCAGATGCTTGCCTCTAATGATGTAAGGCCTTTTAAATTGCTTAATCTTGTGATGGAGTACTGTTGCTACTCTGGATAAAAATGATCACCATTTCCCTTCATATTTAGCATATGAGAAATGCAAAGATCGGTTGTCTTTTAAGAAAGGGGAGAACACAAATAAAATAGAAATAGATACTCTGTGAAAGTCTGGTGGTATTTTCACATTTACTTTCTTATTTTTAATATTTTTACCATATGAAGCTACTAAAACTTAGAAAAAAAAAAGAAGTGACAAAAAGTCAGTTGACACATTTGAGCCCAATTTTCCCCTCCCTGTTCTGAATAGTAATCTATTCTTGGAGTAGTTCTCATTATTCCAGAATTATACAATCGTAAGAACAGTATTTTAACATTATACAAGCTTTTTCTTTAAGTCAAGACTGAACCCTAATGAATGGAAGTCATATTTGGAAAAATGCACCAAATTCAGGGGGCGAGGGATTGCACAGAGTGTGAAGAGTTAAAAGCCACTGAGCTAAATTCCATCAGCATCACTGATATGGTATCGATGTAACTGAGACACAATTTTGGACTCTGTTTTCTGATTACAACAGTGAATACGCTGTCTGGTTGAATAGACATGAAAAGAACACTTCTTTATAAAATTAATTAGCTGAGCTCGTTTCTGAAAGTGATTCTGGTTTAATTTCAGTTGTATGCATGCGCACTGACATCTATTCTTTATATGCATGTGTGAGTATGTGTTTAATTACAAGTTGTGAAGTTGTTATCATATTCAAGTCACTAAATTAAAAAAATTAATCCCAGTCTTTAAGAATCAACAGGACTGCTATTCTCTAAAATGAAATTATATGTATTACCAGAATGGGGAAGATCTCTAAAAATAGGATAAGCTCACAAAATGCAGCTCACACCCTTTTCCAAGAGAAAATGTCTGAACGGGGGAAGGGCTACATTTCCTGGATATTTAGCTTCTTTTCTCACCATTACACATCCAAAGCCATAAATATTGTCGAGATTACTGCACGAGCACATACTGAATGAATCAACTTTGTACGCAGTTAAGATACTCAAGTACTGCACTAAGCGGTCAACAGTATGTTTGGTTCCAAAAATTATGAAAACGTTATCCGTGGGCTATGCAACTTTAAAAACCAGCAAACGTAGTCCCCAATTTTGTGATTTTTGGAGCTCATTCTGTACAACAGAGATGAAAGGATCATGTCCTTGCCCTACACAAACACGCACACACACATCTATACATATATTTACACACATCTATGTATGTGCAGCTCCCCTGCATACTCTTTAGATAACAAGGAACTTGATTACTTTTCAGATTGTAATTTTCATGCCATAACACATAGAGAAACCTCTGCGGCCGAGTTCTGCATCGTCATCAGTCTGAACTACATGCAACATATCTCTTTAATGGGATCTTTACACGTAACACTTTATGTAGTCACTGCCTGGAATTCTGACAGTAAAACAGGACTACTAGAGATCAAGACTGCTTTACTATTGATGTGGTTTTCTCATCCTTTAAACAGGTTTCTAGAACAACGACACCAGCTATTTTAAAAAATAACAAGTAGTTTTAGCAGCGCAGCATAGCAGCTCATATCCATAAAGAAATAAAGCAAAACGAGCTATTGACTTTAGCTTCACAGGCTTTTGTGCAGTCGCCCAGAGTGTCATTTACCAGTTCCTACAATGCACAACTTGTCATGGAAATGTTGAAGTTTGGTTCCTACCTGGACTCTGGCCTCAGTGAGCTCTGTTCTCAGAGCTAGCTGTTCTCTTACATAGACATCAGGGTAGTGAGTTTTCTGGAATACTTTCTCCAGTTCCTCCAGCTGCAAACTGGTGAAAGTTGTCCTGTGTCTCCTCTTCTTACTGCTGGAGACATTGCTGTCACACTTATCACCAAGTTCATCCAGTTCCCCCTTCTCCTGCATCCCTTTCACCGGAGACATCCTGAGATTGTTGCAATTGTCCATGGGCCTGCTCAGCTCTGTGTGCAGAGGCTGTCCTTCCACTTTAGTAATCCCATAGTTCACTGTACACAAGGTGGGGGAGGGAAATAACTGGTTAAAGGGGGGGCTTTAGATTCAAGCGTTCGTATAAAACAGTTTCCCAAGGAACCAGATTCTGTGTGACTGTGTATTTCTATACAAGGTCGTGGAAGAGGAATCTGTAATGCTAACCACAAACAGGGTAAAAGTACTAAATCACGCTGAATTTTAACTACGAATTGTATCTGAAAATATCATCTGAAATCTTTCAGTTTAAGGAGACTGCATAAGAGTTCTTGAATATTTTTACTCTGCCACTAAAGTAGTTAATAATCCATGAAATCAGCTTCAACTAGAGTTGCACAGATAAGGAATCTTAGCCCAAAACAGATTTTTATATAAGATAAGCAGCATAAAGCTACTGACAAACGTGCTTTTAACCTTGGAAGCAGATGTAAAAAACTCTGTTTCTAGGAAAATACAAAATAACTGTAAACTAAACTAAATAGCTGTAAACTGACAAAACAAGAAGCAACTGAAACCGAAAATTAACTTCTCTTTACAAACTCAATAGATTCCATATACCTTCTCTTGGATTTGTAAAGCGGAATTGTTTCCAATTAAGTTTGTTATGGTTACAAAATACAGAGAGTTTCTGCAAAATGTTAACTTATTAAAAGAGATCGTTTCATACACTTTGTATAGGGATTGCAGGAACTATTTGTCTTTAGGTAAAATCTGAGTGGTAGAGATAAGAAATATTCTTCTGTAGCTTCTTAATAAGAAATGAAAACGTTTCCTATTTTTTTTTCTATTTTTACATATCTCACATCACTGAAGAAGTCATGCGATATAGTACAGAATTCGAAAGAGCGCTTTTTTATCCCTCAGAAACAGGCGAAAAGAGTTTAAAACTCTATTGAAATTAAAATCTACAAAGATGGCATGTAGCACACGGTAAGAAACTTGCTTTGGGATTTTCTCACATTCTCAGTAATTTATTTTCTTTCAGTCCGAGCTTATTTTAACCAAAGACAATTTTTAGATACTTACCATCAATACATACATAGATAGGAAATGCCCCAAAGCCCCCAAGGCACACGTTAAATGAGCTAATAAAGAAAAACTTCAATGTATAAATCAATTTTCAGTATGTTTGTTTGGGTTTTTTAAGCTGCACTTGCAGAAATATGTCGTTATTTCTTACAAACTGTTTCATACAAAAAGGACGTTGTCAAAAAAAAAATAATTTCAATACGTATATGAAGTAAAAAAAAATGTAAAATATTGTTAGTCCCATTATTGCAGCTGACCTTAACCACATTTTCCGATTCTGCTGGGGGCAGGGGGGCAAATAATTATTTTTCTATACATGATTCACATCATGTTGGAATAATGGGGAAAAATTTAAATATTTTAAAGCATCCACATTCTCTTTGCCGATCAGCTAGAAAAAAAATAAAATATTTAACAGGGTTGTTTGAATTACCCTAAGTCGTTGTCGGTCGGTATGAAGAATCACTGTTACGCATTATTCAGTAATACGGCAGAAAGAAACAAACCCACGGTGCTCGCAGAGCGTTATTTGGAAGGACCGAACATGACCGAGCGACCTTCCGTTCCCACCGGTACCGGGACCCCTCCGTCCCCGCTGTGCCGCCACCACCCACACCCGGAGCTGCTTTTTCCGGGGGGTTTCCCCGGGGAGGGGGAAACGCCGCTGCCCACAGCGGGCGCGGGGGACTCC